TTTGGCAAGGGGTTAAATGGAGGGTTAAGGGGGTTTAACCCTTCATTAGCCTGCCAAACACTAAAAAATACCCAAGGGTTTGTTAACCCGCACGTGACCTCTTTATCCCGTTTAACCCGTCAAACCACGGGTTTACTATTCCTCGTGAGAAGGCGGAACAAGCTTTGTTCCGCCTTCTCACGCGGGGGTAGGCGAGGGAATTAGGAAAAAAATATTTTCATCTGGATCTTGTTATGGTCGGCAGCGAAAACCGGAAGAGGTCAGCATGCATCTCTTTCTATCTCCCCTTTCCCAATTTTTAGGAAAGTTGAGGGATCGGAGGCGTCGCGTCGGCTGCTGCTGCGATTCAACCCAATATCTCTCCCCTCTCTCAATTTTCAGGAGGTCAGCATGTATCTCTTTCTCTCTCCCCTTTCCCCCTTTCTCAATTTTCAGGAAGGAACTAGTAATGGGAACACGAGCATCACAGCATCGCCACCACCGACAACACCCTCTCTAGAAAAGTGAGGAGGCAAGAGCATCAGCGGCAGCCGACGAATGGTTCACTGCCCTCTCTTCCTACCAGCGATGGAAGATGATCTCTGACAACTGTGTTTCCATGAAAGTCAACAGGTCTTCCAACCAGTGCAAGAAAAGATGGGAATCTCTCCTCTCTGATTACAAGAAGATCACGATCTGGGAGGCCTCAAACTCTGCCTCTGCCTATGGACCCTATTCGTCTCTCAAACCCGGCAGGAGAAGGAAGCTTCACCTTCCTTATTCCTTTGACCAGCAAGTGTTTTGCTCTCTGGATGTTGTCATCAAGGCACAAGAGGCTAGAATTGCTTCTTCAGCAACCGACATTGACTAAGAAGACCTCAATAAGTGCAATGGTGGCTCCCAAGGCATGGTTGAGGCTGAGGCTAGTGATCCAGATTATATTATCAGTATGCCTGCGGCTAAGTGTCAAGCAGAAGACGTTATCAGTAGGCTAGAGACTGAGATGGCTGAAGCCGATGCCGATTTAGGTACCTCAATTGAGTTACTAATCTCCTACAGTTTGAATAATTATTTCCTTGCAAAATCTAATGCCACTTTAGTCATATCAATTGTTTCAATTCAATACGCTGTGTCTAAGTATTCCAAAGGGATATAATGGATAAATAGTCAAAGGTGTAGCAGTTTGTTAGTCAAGTTGTAACTTCAAAGTGCTTCATAGGCAATGCATCTTGCCAAATTGTCTTTATAGGTTTTTAGGAAGTGACATGGATGCACTAATCATAGCACTTGGTTCAGCCGTCTCTTATTTAGTAACAAATGACGTCAATATGTTTATTTCTCTTAATGGTGGATGTATGTTCCTTCAACACATACATTTGAAGTTGTAACATCAATCTTTCAACTTGCCCTCTGGTAACAAATGAGATTTAGGGGAGAAGAGTAGAAGCAAGTATTTGGACGCACATATGATAAACCACAAATAAAGCTCATCATGCTATTATGTCACATATTCTGCTACTTTTAAGTGTGCAACTGTTTATGCATCATCTTTCAAAATGATTATATCAACGTTCTGTCAGAAGCTAGTCACTGTAATTTAATCTTGTATGCACTATGCAGTGTAGAATCCTTGTAATCAGAGTTTGAAACTGTTAGTATAAAACTATAACCCTTAATCCTCATCACAATTTCCCAACTTCAGAGATAGGGTGTAATGGATAGGGACTAGGGACTTTAACATGTGTGAGCAACTCAGATTCGAATCTTGCTGGCCATGAATTTAATTAATAAGCAGGACTGATACTACTAAAAATACAAATAAGGAACATGAGATAATTAATAAGCTAAAAGAAAATGCAAAGGAGATAATTAATAAGCAGGGACTGATACTACTAAAAATACAAATAAGGAACATGAGATAATTAATAAGCTGAAAGAAAATGCAAAGGAGATACACGCCATATTGAGAGGTGAGCTACCAGATAATGTCAACCGAAGTTGTGCAGTCTGGTGGATTTGACGAAACCAAATGCTGCTGAGATTGAGTTCACAAGACGACAAGCTGACGAGCTTATCAAAGCATTTGGGGTGCTTTCTAGCACTCTCAATCAGTTCAAGGAGCTAATGGTGCTTTCTAGCACTCTCAATCAGTTCAAGGAGCTAATCAAGGATGGTGAATGCAAAGAAATCAGTCGCATGAACCCAATGGCCTTGTGAGAGCAGTTCTTCTATAAATAGCTTATTTGTTAATTGGACTAAGTACAGTCTGCAAGGAGAATTTCTTGGTTAGAATATGAGCTCTTAAGCGCCTAACTCTCAGCATTTGATATTCCTTGGTTAAAGGTGTCATGAAGAACTTACCCTTTCAGATTCTGTTTTGATATTCCTTGTAGAGTAAACAAAGTTATAGCTTAAAGACTCTAACCTGATATTATGAATGATTTGACAATGGCCTTCTAGAAATAAGAAGTTTTGAACATACTGAATAATTGCTTGATAAGTGCAGGATATGGTATCTGAACCAACATTGGCGTTACAGACAAAGAACTTATCGAAGGATTATATGTCTTGCACACTGTTCATGGACGTTAGCGAAGAATTTTTCTTGTGTCCTCAGGGAGGTTATTTCCACTAGGTAGGACTTCAACTAATTTCTTATTTTCTATTGTCAGAACGGAAATCCATTGATTGTGGACACACAGTAGGCGTTGATGCCTGGAGGTTCCTACTGTTGACCTCTCCATTAAAAGATTGTCCATTTTGTTCTGGATGAAGTTTATGTGTGACAGTCTGTCCATGAATGCGGGAAATTTTCCAATGTTGAGCAGCAAACGTCTTCTTCACAGATGGCTAGCGGGGTGTGCTTTTAAGTTTCTGCCCTAAGAACCTTCTTAGTCTTCAGGTGGTGCATTTTCAATTGATCTGTCTCTTTGATAGTTAATCTCTCCACTTAGAGAATTGTAGTCTAGAATTTATGAAAGAGTTCATGCACAACTACGTAATGCAATGGAAAAAACATGGAAAATTTTAAAACAAAGATTCAAAATTTTGAAAGTTGCTGCTCCATTTCCTTATCTCAAGTCAAAATCGTTGTAGCTTGTTGTGTTCTTCATAATTTTATTGCAAGGCATTAGGGAAATGATAAATATTTTAATATGCTCAATGGATTAGAGATGAATGAGGATGAAGATGAGGAGGAAGAAGACCCCCAATACATGGTTGGTGAAGATGAAAGTTTAAGGGGTGAGCAACTTCGCAACAGGATTGCTTTACAGCTTTGGAATAATTGAAATATGTAGTTGTCGAATATTAAAGTATAAGGAGGTTGAATTATATCTTTTATTATCTTTATATGAGCAAAACTTATAATTTTATATAGAGCTATTGAGTAGATTGTTTTTTCCCTTGAATAATCAAATCTTTTTTTTTGCTTGAATAATCAAATATTTTTTGCCAGGTTTATTGATAGATAAGAAGCCATATAATATTTTGTTAGCTCATTATCTCTCTTTAGCTTTTGAAATAATACGAAAATGATAATTTATTTTTATTTACCTTCTGAACAATCATTTTTGAATAATACCAAATTGTCATTTTAGCGTTATTTCAAAAAAGTTATTAATCCCTCGTGTCTCAACTGAATTACATATTAGCGCTTCAAATCTTTGAAATTGCTCAGAAGGTAAATAACGCGAAAAAGAAATTAATGAGGCAATTATTTATAAATTTGCAGTAAGGGCGTAAGTGGTATTTTTAAAAATAATAATGAGATTAATCTTCTTAGTCCTTCTTTATTTGCCAAACACAAAAGGCTTAACCCCTTGTCTTAACTATCGAATCCAAACGGAATTAGAATATGTTTAACCCTTCACAATGGATTAACTAAGTTAACCCTTCTCCTTTATCCCTCTTCCTTAACCCTTTGCCAAACGGGGCCTAAGGGGGGTGTTTGTTTCAATTTTTTTTGGTATATAGGGTGGATTACAAATTCTAGGATAAAAAAATAGGGTTTTTTAAGTTTATGGATTCTATAACCTTTGTTTGATTCAAAATAATTTTGGGATATTGAATATCTAAATAATAAAAAAAAAACGAATATATTATAGCATTTGTGAAATCCCCTCTTTGAGAGAGGATTTAGGCTAGATTTCAAATTGTAAAATTTGGAATGCTACAATTTGAGTTTGAAACAAACAAAATACAAATTACAGGATTACATATCCTAATATATTGATGAAACAAACAACATTTTAGAAATCCCAACCCATGTTAAAAAACTCATGGATTTCAAATCCCATGGTGAAATTCATATTCTGAAATTATAGGATTTGAAGCAAACACCCCCTAAGTATATATGGTCACTTCAGGTAAAGTATAAAACTTTCCTTGCTTCTCTTTCAAATGATATTGACTGGATTTGAGATGTGATACGTTGCATAGGGACCAAAACTACCCTTTATTTAATTAATTGCACTAAATCGACTTATCAACCATTTCTCACCAATTTTCCCCCCCACGTAATGGTGGGAATTTGGATGTTTATGGTGTGACTTACCACATGATGTACCAACATGCATGTATGCTAATGGATTTGATTTTCCTCTGTATTTAAAGATAATTTAGCATTATGTAATGATCAACGGTTGCAAACTACTAACTATTCTGAAACTTCGTCGATACAAAGATAATAAATGATAGCCTTTCTGCAGGGAGATTATTTTCTTTCTTTCTTTTTTGTGTCCTTTACGTCATAAGTTTCTCACATATTTATGCAATCTTCAAGGAGATGGTCTTCTCAGTTTTCGGCAAGTTCTTGCTCAATTTTCTACATGTTTCTGCAGTTTTATACAGTTTGAAGTATTTAAGGTATTTTCAAATTGCTTTCTAAGGTCCACATCACTCGAGAACACACGGAGTACATGGGCTTTTTGCAGATAAACCCGTGTAACGCAGTTATTTCCAAATAGTATTGAAAACTTCCAACACACAACATGAAAGGGCAGAGAGAGCCGTGTGAATCATAGTACAGAAGAGAAAGTTAACTTTTAGATTAAGCAACCATAATACACTGATTAAGTAGGTCCACATAAATTTGCAAGAGAGGCATTGATAGAAGAAGAAATATGAAGATATAGCTAAGGCTAGCGCTTCATTTGAAGAATACTACTAACTGTATGCATGCAGCTAGCCCTTCATAACCTAATATATATTCTTCTTCTTACTTAATACCCACATGCCTACTTTCTTTCCTTGTGGTTGATCAGAGCCTTAGATACCTCATCCTGGTTAAAGAGAAAAAACAAAAAAGTACAAATATATCAAAATCTACAAGCTTCTAGAAATATAATATGAAAGAGAACATGTGAAAAAGGAGGAGAAATAAAAGTATACAATAGCAGGATATGAATGAATCTATGAGTTGAAGTGAATGTGACCGGTAAAAAGGAAGTATTACTACTGAAGTCTTAGCTCAACCACAAGTTTGATAGAAATACTGTAACTTTAGATGGCATTGGAATCAAAGTTAGTTAGTGCACATTTCAAAATGATAACTAGTCTTTCACTCTCCTAAACTTATCAGAACAAAAACTAAGTAGGTAAGGCAAAGATCATTTACGATCCACTACTTGAGTACAGTCACAAATTGGTGATCAAATTGAGCTAGTTTCCTCCAATTGAAAGCCATTGCCTAAGTGCGATGGGCCACTTATGACACCCACAAGCACAGCATAACCAAGTGTAGATGAAACACCAAGTTGGCCTTTTGCTTTCCAACTGAAAGCAACGTAAACAAGAAGCAGGAAGAAAGAAGCTTGTGGTCAGGATTATTTCGAGCGTTGAGGGTCGTAACTATATTCTAACATGTCTCCGTAGTTTAAGCCCTCTTTTAATATGCTGAAACGTGTTGCACCCATTTCAAATAAGTGGTCGCTGGGATTTGAATCTGGCTTGCTCTAATGTCATGTTAAATAGCACTAGAGCATATTTGGCAACTAAAATGGTTTATCTCCTCTTTGCCAAACCAATCTTTACATTGCTTCAAAAACTTCAAAATTATGATGAGAATTGTGGTTATCATTTTACCTTTGTTCTTCGTCACGGACACGATTTCTAGTGCCGTAAGAAGGGTAATTGCCAGACTCAATATGCCTGACATCTTCTTCAAGAAGCCTGTACTGCCTCTTGACATCCTCGACAGACTTTCCGACGGCACGAGCAACGTTCTGCCACCGGTCGGGGGTGTCCTTGTCGTAAACCGCAAGCACCTGCTCGAAGTGCTTGTTCTGTTCTGCGGTCCACGAAGCCATTGGAACTGAATAGGAGAGTGAGAGAGTTGGTTATGGTGTGGGTTGAGGAGAAGGTTGAAGAGGGAGTCGAGAGGGCAGGTGGTATTTATAGTGAGAGAGAGTAAGAGAGAGAGAGACTGCAAGTTGAGGGAATATTGGTTGAGGGGGAATAAAGCGTGATTAGTATGTTTGAGAGCCACAACAATGGGAGAGAGGGAGGAGAACAAGGAAAAACGCAGATGCAGTGTGATGTTTAGTTGGGGGGTGGGGGGGGTGGGGTGGGGGGGGGGGGGGGGGGATTCCATTTGTCAAGGAAAATGGAGGAGGGCTACACTTTCAAATTGTTCATAAATCCCCTCCCACTTCCCCTTCTTTTGGAACTAAATAAAGTGGTACCCTCTATACTATTAGAATACACATATATTTTTTAAGCCTTATAATTCTGGAGTTTTTTTTTTTTTTTTTTTTGTACAGCAATCAGAATGATAAAGCGCTGTTTGCCACCCCCAACTTAAATTGGAAAAATAGAATAAAACCAGATTAAGTCATGGTCGTAGTTTGGCAAATAATTGGACGACCAAAACTTTTAGGCCAATGTTTTGGCGTGAAACTGGTTCAAAATTGGCTCACCTCCCCACGGTATATAGTTTCACCAGTTTGGTCTAAAACTGGTCTAAGGGGAGAGTTGCCGATCGAACTGACCTCAGAGTCATTCAGGTTTAGATACGAATACATATGCATTTAAAGCGGAATTACACACATCATGCAACTGATGCAAGAGCTTAGATTTGTCAATTGCTTTTCTCTTGTTTGATTGGTTTAAGGTTCAAATTCCCTATCTGTAGAAACTAAATAATGTAGTAAACCTCTCTATGCTATTAGAGTTCAAAAGCACAGTTTTGATCCCTCTTCAGCATTTCGTAGTTTCTGTTTTTGAAACAAAAGAAACCAGAAAATAATATTAGAGACGTGCAGGTTCCAAATAATATTTATGCACATATGTTTATACAGAAGTTCTTTTGTTTGATTGGTTTTTGAAGTTCAATGTTTACAGATTTTTCTCTCACCTCCCTCTCCATTGGAACTAAATAGAGCACTAGTTTAGGGAATAAATATCTATAGTCTTCTTGTTTGATTTGTTTTTAAAGTCTAAATTGAACCAATAAGAAAAATGCCTTATTCCAACAACTTCAAAAGGACTGGCCCCAATTGGATGCCATTTCATGTCAATGACTTTTCTAGATTATGTTTGAAATCTTTTGATATTATTACCACCCTACAGTCTCTTGACTAGAGAATCATTTGTAGAGAGCTATAGTGCTAGTTTTCTTATCACTCTGTGGGCTCTTGCAAGCTGAAATTTTGAAGGGAAAAGGTTATGCTATTATACCCTGCATCAATTGGAAAGATCTTTCTCTAAAATAACAATAAAGAGAAAGAGAGGATCCTTGAAGATGGTCTCTGCATGACGTATGCAAAAAATAAATAAATAAATAAATAAATAAATGAATAATAATGAATAACCAAAAGGAGGATATTATCTTAGTGATCTTTAAATATATCTTATGATATTGAACACTTCATGCTTGTTTCTTAGTTTATGTTTGCCTTTTGACTGAAAATGGATACTGAAACACTTCAATCTGCTTTGGAGGAGGTGGGAAAAAAAATCATAAACAGGTTTATGATATGGTTTTCTTGATCGATAAAAAAAAAAAAAGAATGCAATGACCTTTTCTCCAACATTTGCATGAATTGATGCATCTCAGTACATAGACCATCATTTTGAGAATTTAGTATTTTCTATAAATCTGTAACTATATATTTCTTATAATTTTGTTGTTGGCGCATCAGGAAGAGCAAAAGTAACATGACTGTGGATCTGTGCGCTTCACTGCAAAGCCTATACCGACAATTTTGACTTATAGTTTTTAGGGAGCTAGATTTTGACATGGATTGTTATTATAATTTGTATATATGAGATTATTTTCTATGATGATCATTTGACAAATGATTTTAGATTAAAGTTATTTCCTCCCCCAAATTGAACTCTATATATATTTTTTGATTATGTGTTGATTACTACATTCATCATATATATACAAGTCTTGAAGTTTCCAGCTTAGCATCTATACTATAAACTAAATTAATGCCTTAAATCGTCCCTCGGCAACTTCTTAGAAACTTGGGTGTCAAATTTATTTCGTTACAAATAAAAAATATATATAATAGTATTGGTAATATGAAAAGTCATCTTTATAATATATTTTAATAAACTTATATGAAACTATTCATTGTGTATAACCCAAATAACTTCACTTATGAATTGAATTATACTTTTATTAATTCCTATACCGACTCATTCAGATTCCCAACTTCTAACGCAAATAAATTTTGTACCTACATTGCATATTACTGTTTTCTTCATTTTTCCTAAATTTTTACTTTCACTTTGCTTTTTGCAATCTTTTCGTCCTTTTTTCCGCATCTTGCATGTTTCTCTGTGTACATGTATATATAAAATCAAGAGCACATCGTTTTTATTCCTTACTTCTGCAAGCAAGGGTTGTAATCCTTGCTTTTTTGTGCTTCTCTGCCTCTAAAACTCTTCCTATTTACATCACTACCTATCCTCCAACCATACTCTCCAAATTGGAATATTCCAATTTGGAGAGTTGCTCCAACCTATACTCTCCAAATGTTTTTGTTTTTATTTTATTTTTGTCAAAAAGCCATATAAATTAATAATGTTGGATATAGTTTACATTAATAATTTATTTTTAATAATTTATTTAGAAAAAAATTTATGTCTAATACTTATTTATTTAATTTAAAAAATAATAATTTTTTAATAATACTAAAATAAATTAATCTTAGTTTTATTTTAAAGATCTCAACGAAACCTTTCCAAATATATAATGATTTCAAATATTAGATTAATATTTTTTTTACTATATTTATTTGAAATTAAACATCTAATTTAAATTACTAAGAATGATGGCAAAATGGTAATTTTTAAGAAATTAAATAGTTAAAAGTGGCAAAGTTGTAATTAATGAAACTTGAATAGTACTTTGGAGGGACTCACCAAATTTTATCTTCACTCTCCAAATTTGGAGAGTGAAATTTGAAGATCTCCAAATTTGGAGAGTGATTGGAGAGGATTTACTCTCCAAATTTAGATATTTTCCCATTTTGGAGGTCGGTTGGAGATGGTCTTTATGCCTTTCTCAATATTTTCAAGAGAGCTTTGCTACATATATAGATTCAAAATATGAGACCAACATGGGAGACATGTGAGGTGTCTCCCTCCTAGTGCATAATGAGCTGGCCATCATTAATGATGACCAGCTCATTATGCAATGAGCTTTGCTACAGGGATCCAAAATATTGGACCAACTGGAGGGACAGGTGAGGTGTCCCCCTCCTATTGTATAATGAGGTGATCATCGTTAATGATGGTTAGCTCATTATGCAATAGGAGGGGAACACCTCACATGTCCCCCCTGTTGGTCCCATATTTTGGGTCCTTGGGGAATTTTTCTTATGCAATATGAGGGGGACACCTCACATGTCCCCCCCTGTTGGTCCCATATTTTGGATACTTGGAGAATTTTTCTTTTCAAGAGCTCTTAAATTTAATAATCTATAAAAGGAACTCCAATTTACACCAAAGAAGTTAACTTTCATCATACGTTGTCCAAGACAATATATATAATTCCCGCGGGTAGAATGCTAGTTATAAATATTTTGAACATGGAAGACAGGAAGCATTTGTAAGGCAAACTAAGTACACACAAAATGGAGGGCAGGGACGAGAAATTCTGCGATGAGGTCCAAGAATTTGATTCCATGCGTCCATTTGCCTTCTTTTTATGTACGAGATTAATTTAAATCTTATACTAATCTTAGCGGTGTTCAATTCTTTTCCTTTATTTGGTAAGAAACAAGTGTGCGTAAGGTGGGGGGGCAAAAGTTTCATCGCCTGCTGCCTTTCTAATTTAAGGGCGGAACTAAATCTATCGTCTTCAAGAAATTAACCTCGAAAAATTAGGTGACCATTTCCTTCGGTTTGAAGTATACATCCAATCATCTTGCCTCACTTTATTAGTATTTAATGATTGCGATTAGGATGTGATATGTCGTGCTTTCGCCAGAATTACGTACTCCCCTTAATATGTTGAAGGAGGAAAAAAAAAGTTAAAAAAAATAAAAGTAAAATGATGATGCATGCATGTTTCCCTGTCACCCAAAAGTAATTTCCCAATCCTTATCAAACTTTATGCTATACAGTGAAAAAGTAAGAAAACGACATCAGTTGACTAGTTAAATCAAAACTCAAAAAGGAGCGAGATATCAAATAGGGTTTCATTAAAATAAGCAGAGCCAACATTAATACAGAAGACCAGTACAGGGCAATTTACAAGAGGGAAGAGACCAGTACAAGGAAGACACATGAAAACATGGGTTTCTTAGGACGCGCGCTGCTTATATGCAATTGCCCTTCGCTTCAGTTCAGCCTGAGAAATCTCATCCTGAC